CAAGTCAAAGTTTGGTTATTTATTTTGCCACAGTCAAAACATTTTATCACTGTTCAGAAGACCAATCTATTAAAAACATGTTGACATGTCAAGTACCCCACAAACACATTAAAATAACTGCACCGTTTGATGGATAGAAATTCATATGCATTTTGATTTTAGAATTGGTTTTACCTGACATCTACAAAATGCACATTTGCCTCTTCCTCTTTGAGGATAAATAGGTGGCATCTTATTTGTGAAATTTCACATGGTTTGCTATCTCATCTAACCAGGAATAAAAACTTCCTGTCCTGTCACGTGGTGAGTCTTTGGGTTTTGTGTTATCCTGTGAAACAATTCCTTGTCTGGGGATTGCAGCTGAATTGAAGGTCAGTTTTCCTAGAAAGGCCACTTTCTTGAGTTGTTTACTGTTCCCTGTACAATACTGTATTCAAGCCAGCTTTGTGCTTCTGTTAATACCAGAATTTGATTAGGTCTGGCCTTACAGATTCAAGTAAACCAGAAGCCTGGAGTTCCATTTATCCATTTATTAGGAATGGATCCATGGATCCATTTATCCATGCACCAACATTGCCAGGGCTGCCTGCAGGCAAAACTGAGACACATCCATGCCTGCAGACACTTGGTCACCAGTTTTATTAACCTGGTTTGACTCAGAACAGAGCCAAGGTGATCAAATTTTGTTTCAACACTGCAGCTGGCAGGCAGAATTTATACCTGGAGAGAAGAGAAGAGAAGAGAAGAGAAGAGAAGAGAAGAGAAGAGAAGAGAAGAGAAGAGAAGAGAAGAGAAGAGAAGAGAAGAGAAGAGAAGAGAAGAGGAGATCACCCTTACACCATCCCTTCCTACCTGCACCTAAATGTGACTGTAAATAACCGTGGTAAGTGACTGTGGACACTCAGCACACCAGCCAACTTTTTCTCCACAAGTAGGTACATAATGGATAATTTTGTTCTGTTTTGTGCTCACAAAGAAAGAAAAAGATCTCCTCTCCTCTGGTAGGTTTGTTTAAAGAAAGGTTTGTACAAGGGCTCTTGGATAACTCCATCTGCTGATGATCCCAAGGTTGCTGGGACAGAGCCCTGCCATTCCCATCACCACATGCTCTCCTTCCTTGTTGGTTTTCCCAGCTTTTACAGAGATGGGGCAACTGAGAGGTGTTTTAAATTGTTTTATTCCATTATCAGTCTTGATGAAGGCTGAGACATAAGAGATGTAAAACTCAGTGTCATTCCATCAGAAGCCAACCTATTTCCTGCTTACAATACCTCGAAATGTTTTTCATCCCATTAGCTTTTGCCCCACAATGCTGCTGTTACTTCTAACACCAATCACCTCTATTTTTCCCCCACATGGTCCTGCTACAGTGCATCTTTCACAGTTCTAATCCTCTAAAATATCCGGTCTTTTTGCAAAGCCATATTTTGAAACTTATTAAAACTTATTTCTAGTTCAATCTCTCCCTCAACAATCTCTATTCCATGGCCTTCCTAAGTCAGAACACCTTATCTCAGTGTCTGCATACAGATGTACAAGACTGTGTGAGCTTTCTGTCAGATTTTGAGAATTCTTTACAAACCCATTTCTCACACTACCTCACCTCAAACTCATCATGGTGGTTGAGTTCTGGACCCCGAGATCCCAACCCCAAGGGTCTGCATGTCTGTGTCCCCAAAGACATTGCAACAATCACTTTTCCTCAGCTGAGTGAGCCCCTGTGAGTGCAGAGAGCAGGAAAAAGCCCACACCATTCTGAGGCTCTCTGCCTCATTTCTTGTTGCAGAAAGGTGAGCAGGGACATCATCACAGGCTTGTCAGTACAAATATCACCAAACTGTCATGCACGATGGAGATCACTCCTGGGTGCAGTATATCCATGTACAAACAAGGATAATCCACCCTCTGGAAGAAACCATTTGTCACAAAAGGCCACAGGAGGAGCTGGCTGGCTGGCAAGGACAGACTTTTGTTATGAAACAGCCTGAGAATGGAGGGGCCATCCAAGACATCTGGACACCTACAGAAAGAATACAGGTACTGGATGCAGGTCCAACATCTCTGCCTGGGCACTCAAACATTTTATGAAGGGGCTGTTCTAGAGTGGATCCCCTGCAAGGTCACCCCATGGGCTCCTCTCCTGTCAGGAGCCTGCTCCAGCTCAGCCTTCCCAGAAGTTCACAGCCTCTTTCAGGCATCCCCTGCTCCAGCGTGGGCTCCTGCAGGAGCTGCAGGTGGATCTGCACCCACAGGATCCTCCATGGGCTGGTGGATGTGCACCCACAGGAATCTCCATGGGCTGGTGGATCTGCACCCACATGAACCTCCTGCAGGTGGATCTGCACCCACATGAACCTCCTGCAGGTGGATCTGCATTCACATGAACCTGCTGCAGGTGGATGTGCACCCACAGGAACCTCCATGGGCTGCAGGGACACAGCTGCTTCACCCTGCTCTGCAGCACAGGCTGCAGGGGAACCCCACCCTGATGCCTGGAGTGCATCATCCTCCTCCTTCCCCGTTGATCTTGCTGTCTGCAGGCTTATCTCACATGTTCTGACTCCTCTCTTCTCTGAGTGCAATTATCTCTGTGCAATAACTTTTTATTCCTTCTTAAATATGTCATCACAGAGATGTTACTGCCATCACTGACTGGCTGGCACTGCACAGGGACAGGTCCCACCCTGGAGCCAGCTGGTGTTCGCTCTGCTGGACATGGCAGAAACTTCTGGCAGCTCCTCACAGAAGCCATCCCTGTGGCCACCCTGCTACCAAAACCTGGCCATGCAAACCCACAAGGATCATCAAGTGCAACTGGACAGGACAGCTCCAGAAATCCCATCCTGTGCCTGAAATCATTGTCCAAACACTGCTTGAGTTCTGGCAGCCTTGGGGCTGTGACCACTTCCCTGAGGAGCCACTTCCCACCTCAGCTGTGCTGCCAGCAGTTTTTAAAAAGCAGAGGAGGTGTGTAGGATAGAGTGCCATTTCCTCAGGAAATGTAGGGAGCCATCCCATCAACCCACTCAGAGCACTGCCAATTTAAAACTGCCACTGTGGGGCTATTGAAACTCTCATGGTCTACACAAAATGAGGCCCAACACTCTAGGCTGTTCATGGGCAGCTTGAAAATAGGGAGGAGATAACCTTCCCCCTAAAAACAAGTTTTCAAAATGCCTCTGCTCCTATCTCAAGGTCACTGGGTTCAGACACAGTGGCACTCTCCTTCTTCACTAAGGTCATACAGCACAAGCACAGCAGATGAGGCACAGGAATCCTTTACTACAGGACAAAAACACAGCCCACAGGGGAGAAAGAACTGGCAAACCCAACCTAAAATTTTCATGTTGTGCTGCCCGAAATAGAAGTTTCCTTGCTCATGCCAGAAGTCAAACTTTACCACTACAAAGTTGATTTAAAGTGTGTGGGTGTGAAAATTTCAGCGTAGTCTGTACAGAGGAAAGCTGCGGTTTCTATTTTCTCCATTTGGTTTCTTCTGGTGCTTCTGCTGCTGCCATGCAGTAACTCATCCACAGGCTTCACATCACAGTGGAAAAACAAACAGGACAAAGAGCATGGAAGAGGAATGGACAATATCTGGTCAGACGCTTCAAAACTGAAGTAAGTAAGCACACAGAGAGGAGAGCTTCTGACAAAAACCCAAAACAAACAGCAAGTTCAGAAATCAGCAGGTGTGAGTCTCCTCCCAGCCATTCTGACCACATCCTGGAAGTATCCAGAAACTATAAGTCTTCCATTTTAGCTCTAACTTTTGGTGAAGAGTCAGATGCTGGGACAAACCTGAGCAGTCAGTGATTCCATCTCCTTGCAAATCTCTTTTCCCAGGCAGATTCTGGTTTATCCCTCCACTCCCATCTTCACTATGTGCCTCTTCCCACCAAAGGCCACAGCCATCTCCATGAGCTGCTGGGCTGGTTCTCCTCCAAAGTTAAACTGCTGGATTTTGCAGTGGTCCTTGCTGGCATGAAAGGACATGCTCCACATAAACAGAATGGCAGCTAAAGGGAATTCAGGGTGACAGGAGGCATTTAAAAGATTCTGTGCTTCAGTGGGGAACCACTACTGTGTTCAAACAGGTTACAGTAAGATGGGAATTTAAAGCATGAGTCTGATGCTGTTTTTCATCTGAGGTCAGGACTTTCTTCAGGTATGAAGCACTGGCATCTCAGAGTCAGGCACTCCCTCTGCTGACCTCTGCTTTGCCAGTCTCTGGTTGGGCACACCCTGCACACATCCTGAACAGCTGAACAGCTCTTGCCCAGCTCACCACAGCTGCTGCAGGGACCTGGCAAGGACACAAACCTGGCCAGGGACACAGACACAGCTCTGAGCTGTCACACTCGGGGTTCTCCCTGTACCCCATGGACTTGCAGTGGTTGTCAGAAACAGCTACAGCCAGCAGACTGAAGCTTTGCAGTGCTCTGCTACCACAGTTTGGGGTATCTGCAAAGGAAGAAGCGTACAGGCAGTTCTCTGATGCTGGAAGGCACTATAAAGTCAAAGCACCTCCTTTCAGGGGAGTTACTGAGCCAGTGAGACCTTCCTTACTCACTACAAACCAGACACTCCCACCACTCCTTTACCACCCTCCCATTTTCATAAGAAAAGCATTTTGACTTAATCTC